TTATCCTTTGATACAAATAGAATGTCAACCTCTATAAGTCGGTCCAGGACAAATCCTTCTTGATTACAGTATGAGTTACAGTTTGTGTACTTCCCCATACAAGTACATAAATCATATTATTGCAATGCGAGGGATTAAGGGTCTTAATCGTTTACTCAAACATGCATAGACTAATTAACTCAAAACTATATAAACATTTGTTTAATAATAAACAAATTGAAGTGTTATAAACTACAGCTAAGCCCTAAGACTATTAGCCACCTATCAAAATACTAACTTATATCATCGACATTACCAATATTATGGATTTATTGCCTCTTATTAGGTTTCCCTTCTTTAAATAAAATTTATTTTCAAGAAATGAGTGATGGATACATGAGTCGTAGGTTTTACAAAATGTGCTGTTAAAATTAATATTTGACTTTGAAATGTAATTTTTAGCTGAAAATAAAAAACAGAGGCATTCTTGAAATGCTTAGATCTCCAAACACTTGCTTGTTTGTTGTTCACGTTCCATTTAATATTTTCCATTCCAATATTGAAATCCTGATAGTTAAAATACGCACCTCTTAGTAATTTCACACGTTATTGCTTCAATGTATAGATTCTCTATGTCACCTTAAGATGGATCGTGAAAATTAAGGGTCAAATTATTTTTGTTGAAAGAATTCAAATGGATAAATGCATTCCTTCTTGAACAACTTAAAGTTTCATATGAGATAGCTTGAAATGGTGTTTAATTAGACAAATAATTCTGGTTCAAGTTTTGATCATACACCCTCACATGTTTCTAAGTTTCCTACAAACAATGTTCTAAATGGTAAGAATAGGCAGAAATTTGAGAAAAATCCTTGGATATGGAGAAGGAATGGAAAAGGCGGTCAACATTATATTTGACAAGCTAATATGAGCTTAGGTGGCAAAAAGCAGGCCTAGGCATGTATGCCTTTATTTCTTTGGAAAATTTCATATCAAATAGATTAAGTATAATTCATTTTAAAATTAAGGAACAAGTCTTAAAATTTCAAAAATTAGATATTATTAAATTTTATTTCTAAAATAATGAATTAAAAAATATTTTAATAATTTAATATATTAAGCTTACAATTTTTATATAATTTAGTCACAGATTATCAAATTAATCGATCACAATTTAATTTTCGATCAAAAATAAAAAATTATATAAGCCGATCATGAATTCAAAATTTCAAAAGTCACAATTTATTCATGAGTCACAAAAACAAAAATTTTACAGGTCACAATTTATTGAACGTTCACAAATTATCAAAATAACCAATCAATCACAACTTAATAAATTGTGAGTCAAATCAAATTTTTAGGTCATATACTATTTATAAATACAAATCAATCAATTTATTTGTCACAATCATAATTACAGAAGTCTCAATCGCAAATTTTATGAGTAACAACTTATTTCTCTACCACCAATTTATCAAATTAGTAGGTCATTTATTATTCTTTGGCCACAAATCACAAATTTTATAAATCAACTTATTTTGTGGTCGCAAAATATCAAATTAATTGATCACAATTATTTCTTGGTCACAAATTATTGATGACAACATAACAAATTCCTAGGTCATACGTTACTTATGGGTTACAAATTATCTATTTCATTGGTGATTAGCAATTTATTGATCATAATCAACTAAATAATTTGTGCGCATCACATCACCTCTGCCTCCATTAGCACCTCCACCAACACCATCGTAACATTGATGATGATGACGTCCACCATCGCCGCCGCTACCAACATCGCCTGCACTACCGTGACCACCACAACTACCATCAACGTTGCCATCTACACAACTACCACCATTATTTGCAAAACACCAACCACCATAAAAAAACTCAAACTAAACAAATCTAACTTAAACTCAAGCTTAGAAGAGCCAAAATCAGAGTAAAAACACAAAAATATCCTAAGTCGAACCAAAATCAATTTAAAACCATAGATTCGAAATCAATTTAAAACAACTAGTGGTGATGGCATCATTGTCAACAGTGAGCGACGCGGTGGCATTATGAGGAGCTCTCAGAGCAACGTCATTGCGATGTTGTCACAAGCGCCGCTAGAGGCGTAGTAAGCCCAGCGTCAATGGTGTTTTGGTGGAATCAAAGCAATTGATATGGGAGAGGAACCAGAAGCAGCACCGCCTGGAATGGAAGCAATAGACAGCAGAGAAGCGATCCATTCTGTGGGAGCACCAGCTGGAGAAGCAAGAGGAGAAGATATAGAGGGGAGAGAGAGGAAAATGATTAGGGTTTGAAAACTTTGATATGGTGGAAGGATATAGGTAGAGGTTTGTAGATTAATTTATTAACTATATAATATTAATATTAAATTAAAATGTGAAATTGTCATCTCATTTTTGTATAAATAAATTTTAAATATGATTTTTAAAATTGAAACTTAAAAAATTTTGTTGCTTGTAATTTTCATTTATTTCTTTACTTTTATTATTGTCCATCTTTTTAAAAAAGGTTAAACATAAGCTATTCTAAATGGTGGAAATAGAAATGCCCTATGTAGCATGCCTGAGGAAAAATTCTCGCATATGGAGAAGAACTGAGAAAGAAGGTCAACTCTATAGTCGACGGACTAATGTAAGCTTAGGCAGCAACAATTATGCTTAGGCATGAGCCTTTATTTTTTTAAGAGGTTAAATAGTTAATTAATAAAAGGAAAATTTGTTAATGGTGTAATTAAAATTGAATTATGCTACATTACCAAATTGATTTTATTAGAATTGTGCCAAATTAACACTTTGCATCTTTTCATTGGTAGTTGGCCCAAAAACATTTTCCAATTACCAATGAAATGCTGCCAAGTATTAATTTGGCACAATTCTGGTAAAATCAATTTGGTAAAATAGCATAATTCATTAAAATTATTTATTAATGGTCTTAGAATAACTAAAATAATATTTAAACCAAAGATCGATTGTCTTACCACTCTTGTCAATTTTTAGAACCTTGCTAACATATATCTAGGCAACAATTGCTTTTGTCACGTTCTGGAATCTTGAACTTAAATTGAAGCTTTTAAGCTTAGATCTTTTCAATATTCTTCAAAGTTGGTGAATGGAAACTTCAATCACAAATCAAGAACTCCAAGATGATGGAACAAACAAAGAAAAACACGAAAATAATATTCATTCTTTTTCTAATTGCCCGATCAGAGTTATATAATTTATATCGAGTCAAGCCAAACTGAGACTGCTCAATATTATTATTATTTTCAATTTTTAACGACGAGGGAGAAACTGAACTCTTGAATTGTTACTGTTGCATATTCTTAAAAATGTTTTTTCTTGACAAGAACAAATAATTAATGATTCAAGTATCCTCCACTATTGAGCTCAAATTTAAACTATTCTATAAAAAAATAATAATGACATTAATGCATTTACCTATCGAACAAGGTGATGGATACCGAATGCAAATGCATTCTCACTATTTCATTGATCTTACTCATGACATATCAAAAACTTCATGTTCATGGATAGCAATCAGTATCTTGTAGTTGATCTAGATAATCTATTAGATATTCACATGTACTAATTTATTTAGCACGGTCTAACACTTCATTTGGTCCAATTCAATACACCAAATTATATCAGTGTCATTACACAGAAGGGATAATTGTCACAATCAAGACAAATTGTGTACCCTATTGGTAGAGTATGTGATTCTTCGACACAGATAAAAAGTCAACCTCTCTAAGTCGATCCAAGATAAATCCTTCTTGATCGAACTACGAGTTAAATTTTGTGTACTTCCATGCAAGTACATAACTCATAATGCGATTGATGTTTAACTCAAAAATAAATATTATTTATATAATATTGAATAAATTGAAATATTATAAAATACTGTTATGCCGTAAGACTCTTAGCCACCCATCCAAAATAGACATTACTAACCGTATGGATTTATGGCCTCTCTTTAGGTTTCATTTTTTTATTAAAATTTCTTTTCAAGAAATAAATGGTGGATATAGTACTTGAAGATTCTATAAAATGTAGTTAAAATTAAAGTTTGACTTTGAAAAGTAATTTATACCGAAAAATTTTTAAAAAATAAAAGAATAGAGGCATTGCTGAAATACTTAGATCCCCAAACAATTGCTTGTTTGTTGCTCATGATCTCTTTAATATTGTTTATTCCAATATTATCGAAATCCCAATAGTTAAAATACACACCTCTTAGTAATTTCGTGCACTTTATCACTTCAATGTATAGATTCTCTATGTCACTTTAAGATGTATTCTGAAAATAGAGGATAAAAGTATTTTTGTTGAAAAATTGAATTCAAATGGATAAATGCATTCCTTCTCAAACGACTTAAAGTTTTATATGAGATGGTTCAAAATTGCATCTAATTAAACAGACAACTATTTAAGTTCAATTTTTGATGGTACACACTTATGTCTTTCTAGTTTTGTCTCAGATATACAATATTCTAAATGGAAAGAATTGGCAGAAGCGGGAAGTTTGAGGAAAAATCCTCGCATATGGAGAAGGATGGAAAAAGCGATCAAATCTATATTTGTCAAGCTAAAGTGCGCTTAGGTAGAAAAAGTAAGCACTACAAGAAATATATGATTTTCCTACAAAATTTTCACTGACAAATTGAGATTTGTTTGCTGAATTCACTTTTCCCCACAAAAAAAAGTTTCGTAGGGTTATGTTTTAATTCAAAATTTTCAGCATTAGATAAAGTCGTGCCCACAAAAATTTTATCTTTTCCCGACAAAAATTTTGTCGGGAAAAATATATCTTTTTCCAACAAAAATATTAGACCTCTTTGTGGCTAATAATTAAGGAGAAAAATTATCAATTACTATCTTTAATTTTAGTCCCACAAATTATATTTGAGGTTAAAAGATTACTAAAAGAAAAAGTGAAAATACATTTTTTTTTTAACAAAATTCAAAAATAAAAACCCTCTCTTGCCATCTTCAATCACACACGTAATTAGTGATTAAAATATTCCCCCAAAATTTCATTCCCTCTCTTGCCGCCTTCAATCTTCTTTGCCTCCAAAAAATATTCCCCCAAAATTATTCAATTCCCTCCCTTTGAGAGAGTTGCTTAATACCCTCCTTTTGAGAGAGTTGCTTAATCCGCCCAAATCTAATTTCTCCAATTGATGCACAGTATATTGATCATCAAGAAATTTCGGCTTCATCTACAGATTTTTGTGATATTCTTCAATTGATGCCCTCTTTGCAATAAGCTCTTCCGCGCCCACATACGTGTGAGTTGCTCTCTTTTGTCGTAATTTTTTGAAATCATATTTTTTGTTTTTCTACTTTGGTCCCAATTTTAGTGCTAATTAGTCGAATTTTGGTTTTCTTCGGATTATCGGGTTTCATTATTTGTTTCTGGACTCGAGTTTGCAGTTTGTGTTGTGGATTCTAAGTTTTGTCGCATGAATTGAGGTCTATTTCTCTGGGAATTTTTGACGTTTTCATGGGTTTTTAGTAATTACATATATGTTCGTACGTTTCTCATTTTAGTAATAACAAGACAATGATCTTTTTGCTGTTTTCTTCTGTTGTCTTGTTCTATTCGGTTAAATCTCAAGTTCTTTATGATTTTGGATAGTTTTGTTTTGTTTTTTTTCCCCCGGTTATGGAAGTTTTCATTCTTTCAATCTATATGAATTCTGGGTTTTTGTTGATCAAAGTTTTCTTGGAGAAGCTGATCGAATAAGTGCAAGTTGATTAATTGCCTTCTTTTTCAGACAACAATGAACATAAAACATAATCTTCCTGAAAATTTTAGTGCCTTGCAGCAAAAATATTTAAGCTTTTTGCGTCTGTACATGAGTATGAACTGAGAGCTTATATTATGCTTAGCCTTGCCATAATCTATCGTTGAATTTCTTGATCAAGATGAATAGGAAAATATGCAAATCAATCCTCTTCTTCATTGCCTATTAAAGAGTTAGCCGTTTTGGTTATTATTTTACGAGGGTGAATAATTACACTAAGAGACATAATATCAAACCTAGTACACGAGCCCCATGGATATTTTGGTGACTTTTTCAATGGTGTTCTGCCCCTGCCTGCCAACAGTAGGGTCTAACCTGAGCTGGTTTGTTTTTCTAATGGAGTTTTTTTATTAACAAGATTCTCATTGTAGTCATTAATTTGGCCACTTCCTGGTTCTTTGTGTTTCTTGTACACCTCTATCCAGCATTCTCTTGGCTATCAAATAATGGATAGACTTCTTGACTGAATTTTCTGTCCTGAGATTTGAGTTTGTTTAATGGAAAACGTTGATATTTATTCAGAACTGGTTGCATCTACCTGATTGCACATTGACTGTGGAGGTTATAAACCAGGCAAAATTGTTTAGCTCTGAGTAGAAAACATCTGCCAAGCTAAGGCATAAAGCGGGGCAAGCAAGTTGGTTTGTGTTTGTATAAAGCATTTAAAATACAAAAATAGATAACTAAGTCTAAATGGAGTTATGTAGCATAAGAATCCATTCTGCAAAAGCAAACATGATTCTCAAACAGATCCAAAAAGATGGGAAGACACAATTTGAAACTAAAGGAGAAAATGGCTGACAAAGAAGTACAGAGTTATGGAGAATGGAAACTTCATGGCCCTGCTCACCGAGATGGAAAGGAGTGAAAGATGGCATCTGAAATGAGGTTAATGCTCATGGTGTATAGCCGTGCGTGTGAGGGAGAGACATCAGCAACAAACTTACCATTATTTCCTTTAAATTTTTTAACCTGTCGAGATTCTTGTGATTGTCTATGATAAAGCCCAAAAATGCCTACCTCAAGCGGCTATAACTTATTGTTTAGGAAGGTTACTTCTAAAGCTAGACACGGCCAAGATCATGTACTTGCTATCATCTTGGTCTTAGGAAAAGAAGAAAATATAAGGCCCAGTCCAGTAGCCAAATATCTTGTGTTTAATTATTTGAGTAGAATGAAATTGGCTTTTGTGGGGTTAATTTCAAAATGGTCAGTGAAGTGATTTATGTTTCTAGTTTCTGTTTCATTATGAACATTAACTAGATGTGCAAAGTTTAGTTTGAGCTTCCATCAATTCATTATAAACATTACTCATTTCATTTTGTGATTTTATTTATTTTTACTTTGTGGTTTGTTTTCTAGAATTGGATAGTTTGTTCTAATTATGGTTTCTTTTTATTTTATGATTTTTTTAATTATGTGAATTCCAGACGAACTTCGAGCTAGATTTAAAAGACTCGAGATTGACAAATTATATAAATAGACTATATAATGGGAGGTATAGAGAGTTTAAGGTTGAGTTGAGTGCATACTAAAAGTTGCAAAAGACACATGAGAATGCATTAGCCAATCCCATTTGGAGATGCTCGATAGACGTGTAAATCAGTGGGTGGACCTATGAAATCACTTGAACTCCAATAAGTTCAAGGTATTTATTGTATAATTCTTTACTAGTTCACAACTTTTACTTCTAATTTTGTTGTGTAATATCTATATGTTTTTCTTTGCAGAAAGCATCATCAGCAAACATAGTGAATCGATCAAAGAAGTACAATCATCGTACTGGTTCACGTTCTTTAGATGTAACTATATTTGGTGAATGTCATTTATTCGCTTCATGTGTAGAAGTAACTTTAGTAGACGAATTATTTTGTCGGAGGAAAACTTACGCGACGAATTGTATTTGTCTCCAAAGGATTCGTAAGAAAAAATCTTAGCCCACAAATTTCAAAAATTTGTTGTCTCATACCTATCTCCTCGATGTTTGTCCCATAAACGTGCCTACAAACTTTTTTCGTCTACAAAGGTATTTCTCCACAAATAAGAGCATTTCCCCACCAATAAATTTTGTAGGGAAAATATAAAATTCTTTTAATGAAGCCTAGGCATATGACTTTATTTATTTAGTATTATTATTGTCCAAATATTTAAAAAGGTTAAACATAAGATGTTCTAAACGGTGGGATAAAAAAGTCCTAAGTAGCGTGCTTGAGGAAAAACTCTCGCATATGGAGAGGGACTAAAAAAGGCGGTCAACTCTATATTTGATGGACTAAAGTGAGCTTACGCAGCAATAAGTATTCCTAGGCATGCACGTTTATTTTAATTTTTTTTAAAGAAAGGTTAAATAGTTAATTAATAAAAGGAATAATCGCCAATGGTATAATTACAATATTTATTAATGGTGTTAAAATTAAAAATAAAATAAAATAAAGAAAAATCATACTATACCTACGATCGTAAATATTGCAACTTGACTTTGCCCCTTACCACTCCTGGCGATTTTTAGAACCTTGGTAACATGCGGTGGCTCACCAATGCGATCAACTGATTTTCAATCCTCATAAAAAACACCAAAACACGCACACACATTACAAAAATGAAAATCTAAAGACATACAATTATTAGCTAAACAAACAATAAGCCACCTGATAATTTGAACTAAGGCCTGTGTTGGTAGGACTAGATATGGTCCGGTTCAGTTTGGTTCTCATTTGAATTAAGGCCTGTGTTGATAGGACTGGACATGGTTAGGTTCGATTCGATTCGATTCTAATAAGAATCGAATTGACTCAAAATTTTCGAATATTTAGTCAGTAGAACTAGAACCGTCGGATCCAAATTTAATTGTGGAATCGTTCAGGTTCGGTTTCATTCGATTCCCAGGTTCATATTATAATTAAATTTTTTATTATTTACAAAGTTACATTATTTCAACTAATGATATATTCAATCTTAACTTTTACAAAATAATGTAGTCCAATTTTATGTGCTTTTTGCGTCCCCTTTTTGTTGAGTTCTTTATAGATTTAATTGATAAATTACAAGAAAAGAAAGATAGCAAGCTCACAATAATTAAGAGAGGCATTGTTAAGCTTCATTCGATTTCTCTAGAACCATAGAAAAGACACTACAATAAAGTAACAGATCTGGATAAAATTTAGATCAATTTGATTAAATTGGCTTTGAACTGAAAATTAGAAATAGGAAAATCATATTTTTGGATTTGTACTAAATTAATTAGTTAACAAATTTATTTAGAAAAAATAAAATAATTTGGCTTATTTAAAATAAATTAATTAAAAAATTAGAGAAATTTGGTTCGTATTCGGTTCTTGATCTAGAATCGAGAACTGAACAAAATTCTTCAACTCTCGATTCAGATACCCGTTCGAGTATTTAATTTAAGAAGAACCGCTCAGTTCAATTCGGTTCAGGAATTTTTTTCAGCTCTATGTGTTGATATTGTTGTAAATTTTAAGGGAATCAACTTTAGCTATGCTGAAAGTTACCAAAAGAATTAGTTAAATGTTGGGTATACTTTAGTTTCAAGATTTTCTTATGTTTCAAAATCAAAACTAGAATGTTCGTAAAAAATGTGCATTATTGTTGTATTGTATACATCTACTAAAATGAAAGTTGATTATATTGATCTTTTTCTGTATTATTACTACTCCTACTACTTTGACCATAAGATGTACGATTATTACATACTTATATAAGAGAATAAATTAACCATACTTATTATAAAATTGATATATATATATATATATATATATATGTCATTGGCCAAGTTGATTATTTGGCAACAAGTTGTTAAGGTCTGAATTCAATCCTAAACACGCATACTCTGTGCAATAAGTAAAAGAAATAACATTTTAATATTTATGTAAATATTGTCAAGTGGTCCTTTTAGAATACGATCCCCCATGTGCGAAACTCGAATCAATTTCAATATTGGCTGCCATTCTCTTTCTTGAAGCCATCGAAGAAAGAGACCTCCTTTAGATAAACATTATCTTTCAATATTGTCTTGTCTGTCTATTGTTTATTGTAAAGAAAATGTTGATTCTTGATTCGGTTGTTAAACTCATTAGTTGGAAAATCAGTTAAGCGAGTTAGAAAATTAATTGGAGCCTTAGAGATTCTAACATATTTTCTGTTGTTAGTTTTAACTGAACCTTA